TCACATTTGAAAAGCTAACTATGGGAGAACAAATTATGAGAGAAGCAGCCTTGATTTACATGGCACCAGAAGATGAGGCAGCAGGGAAGGAAGTGGAGAGAGATGTCACCTCCACCGTTTCTTTCTCTGAAACAAGGTCAAATCGGGCTGGCCTGGAACTCACAGCATAGCTCAGGCAGGCTTTGAATCTGTGATTCTCTTGAGAGCTGAGTTTTCAGCGATGTGCGCCCCCGCCCCCGCCCCACAGCCTATGCCCAGCTAAGTTTTATCTGAGAGGCATTTCTTTTTTTCTTCTTTTCTTTTCTTTTTTTTTTCCAGTCATGAGGCCTAAATTCTGGGCCTGGCACTGTCCCTCAGTTCTTCAGCTCAAGGTGAGTGCTCTACCACTTGAGCCACAGTGCCACTTCCGGTTTTCTGGTGGTTAATTGGAGATAAGAGTCTAACAGAGTTTCCTCCTAGGCTGCTTTGAACCATGATCCTCACATCTCAGCCTCCTGAGTAGCTAGGATTACAGGCGTGAGCCACTGGTGCCCAGCCCTAAGAGACATTTCTCACATCACCAGGTCTTAGCTATCCTTAGAAATATGGCTCCTGGCTCACAGGTAGCTGTCAGTGGTGTTCTAGGAAGGACTGAGTGGATAGGAAGTTAGGATTTAGTGACCATGAGGCTTCTTTTAATTTAGAATTACTCAATAATTTCATTTTGTTTTTTCTTTTTTCTTTTTCTTTTTGCCAGTCCTGGAGCTTGGCTTGGACACTGTCCCTGAGCTTCTTTGGCTCAAAGCTAGCTTGAGCCACTGCACCACTTCTGGCTTTTTCTGTTTATGTGGTACTGAGAAATCAAACCCAGAGCTTCATGCATGCTAGGCAAGCATTCTACCACTGAGCCACCTTCCCAGTCCCTCATTTTTTTTTTTTTTCCATGTTGGTTGTGGGCCTGAACTCTGGGCCTGGGCACTGTCCCTCAGCTCTTCAGCTCAAGGCTAGCACTCTACCACTTGAGCCACAGCGCCACTTCCAGCTTTTTCTGCTTATGTGGTGCTGAGGAATTGAACCCAGGGCCTCCTGCATGCAAGGCAAGCACTCTACCCCTAAGCCACCTTCTCAGCCCCCTTTTTTTAAGGCATTACTGTAACTTGAACTCAGGGCATCATGCTTGCTAGCCTGGAGTTCTACCACTGACTCATGGCTCCAGCCCCTGCATCTTGCTGGTTATTTTTAGGATAGGGTCTCCCTACATGGCTAAGCATATGAACTTTGGGGGTTTGTTGGTGGTGGGGGGTATATTTGTGTGTTTTTATATTTGTATCTTTCATTGTAAAGGTGATATACACAGAGGGGTTACAGTTACATAAGTAATGAGTACATTTCTTGTCAAACATTGTTACCGCTCCCTTTGTTTTCTCCCACTTTCTGTCCCCCACCATTCCCCTTCCTCCCAAGTAATAAAGTTCATTTCCAACATAATGTCTTGTGAGTATCGCTGTTGCATTGTTCACCCTTGGTCCTTTGTCTCACCATTCTTTTACTGCCCTTTCCTTCCCCAAATCAGATAAACATATATACAAGACCCAGGGGAGCAAAAATAAAAAACAGTGACAACAGGGAATAAACCAAAGGGGGGGGGGAGAAAGAAAAAACAAATAACTTCATTACAAATAACCTCAGTACATTTTTTAAGAAACCCTCATTTCCATATTTTGGAGTTCATTTTTATTAGCATCATTTTATGTGGTCATATGTACATAGTTATTGAGCAATTGTGATCCTGTGATAGGACTATTATTACAAATGAGGGAAACCATGAAGCATATGTTTCTTTGGGTCCCGCTTACTTCATTTAATCCAATTTTTCACGTCTTTCCATTTTCCTTATGAAAGAGGTGATGTTATTCTTTCTGATGGAAGCAGAGAATTCCATTGTGTATATATATATACCACATTTTCTACTAAGGGACATCTGAGTTGGTTCTATATCTTAACTATGGTAAATCATGCTGCAATGAACATAGTTGTGCTAGTAGCTTTAGTGTGGCCTTGTTTGTGATCATTTGGATTGTAAATGCCTAGGAATGGGATTGCTGGTCATAGGGGAGCTCTATATTTAGTCTTTTGAGGAGCCTCCATACTGCTTTCCACAGTGGTTGAACCAGTTTACATTCCTACCAACAGTGTGGTAGCATTCCCTTTTGGCCACATCTCTGCCAGCATTTGTTATTATTTGTTTTCTTAATAACGGCCATCCTAACTGGGAGGAGATGGAATGTCAATGTAGTTTTTATTTGCATTGCTTTTATGGCCAAAGATGTTAAACCTTTCTTCATGTGTCTATTGGCTATTATTTCCTCTTCAGAGAAGTCTCTTCTTTAACTTATTAATGGCGTGGTCGTTTCCTTGAGGATTTGTTATGGGGGGTTAATTTTTTTAGCTCTAGGTATATTTTTGATATGAGCCCCTTGTCTGGTGCATAGCTAGTGAAGATCTTCTCCCAATCTGTGGGCTATTTATCTTGCTAACTAGGTCCTTTGCCATGCAAAAGCACTGTAGTTTAATGTGACCCCATTTATCCAGCCTTTCTTTGATTTGTTGCATTTTATTTAGGAAGTTTCTACCTAGCACCTGAACTTTGATTTGCCTGCTTTAGG